CTTTTCAGAAAGAATGAGAACTATTTTTTGATATGATCCAAAAAGGAATGGTACGGTTCTTTTGATGTTAGTTTGCCTTGTATTTCGAGCCAGTTGGCGAATAATTGTTTGAATTAATATATGGGGTTTTTTGGTTAAAAAAAGAGAATATTACCCGAAATAGGATTAAAAAGGTTTGAAACTTCCAAAATAGGACTGTCATGTTTGTTTCCCAAAATATGACTAATTACTATCATGTTTTGGCAGTACCAGAGTTCAAACATGGCAATATTTTCCAAACTTAGCGGTAATTTCTCCTATTTGAGAAATGAAAACATGCATGTCAATCCTGTTTTGGAATTTTCAAACTATTTTAGTCCTATTTTGGGAACTTTCCTTTAAAAAAAAAAGCTTAGCTAATTAGGCGAATAGTGTTTAATGGAAAATTTGACTTTCTGTCCCAAACTTATTTTGGACCTTAATTTTAAATATTTCGAATTGATTCTCCTAACCCAAAAAAATGTTGTGTAAAGTCTAAAGCAAATAAATTCTTTTGGGACATGAGGGGGAAAATTCTAAAGATTAAAAAGGCGCAAAATCTAATTTTGAATAAAATATATGTAAGGAAAACTCAACTTTTCTTACAAATACTCTCTCCGTCCCGCAAAATAGTTCTCGATTTCCTTTTTGGGTCGTCCCATAAAATAGTTCTCATTTCTCCTTTTGTAAAATTTTGTGTGACTCACATTCATTTATCTTTTTCCTATACAACCATAATCATGCATTTCCAATTTATTCCTACTTTCTTAAACTGCGATCCAAGTTAATGCGGGAACTATTTTATGGGATGGAGGGAGTACTCCGTAATACTCCGTATTTAACTAGATAAAGTTAACATTCCCATACCAACTCTATCGTCCTCGAATCTTAAATGAAATTGTATGTTCGTTAATTATACGTTTGGGCTGAGGCATTATCGTCCATTGATAACACCCAATCTGCATCTATGCAATACAAACCCGATGGGCTAACGGTGAAAAGCAACTAAGATCATTGCTTTTGGAATTGGCCCAAGAACCTAGTTACACTTCAAAACATGCCCTTATTTTTCATCGGGAAAAGGTGCAAATAGGCTCATGTACTAACCAAAAAAGGTCAAATAAGCCCTTATTTAGGAGGTTCTATCCGGACGTCATCATTTGGGGTGGTTCCCAGTGGAATTTTTTGATGAAATTTTTTGATCATCTTATTCATCAAGTCTAGTTTACGCATACCAAATTTCAGCTAAAACTTCAATAGGGAAGGCATTCAAATGAATTCTTGAAGATAATTGTGCTTCTAACTGCGCAGTTATTTTCAAGAATTCATTTGAATGTCTTCCCGATTGAAGTTTTAGCTGAAATTTGGTATGAGTAAACTAGACTTGATGAATAAGATTCTCAAAAAAAATTCATCAAAAAATTCCACCGGGAACCACCCCAAATGGCGACGGCCGGACAGAGCCTCCTAAATAAGGACTTATTTGACCTTTTTTAATTAGTACATGGGCCTATTTGCACATTTTCCCTTTTTCATCTACTGAGAATGGCGGAGCACAAGCGGCTAGATGAGGTCTCGATCCGTAAAAGAATTTTAACATATTGTTCATAGAGAACAATGTTTAATGTGATAATGTGAGAACACTCACTAGCTTAGCTTTTAACACAAATAATGTGGTGACAGTTTCGAAAATATTTAAAATGTGCAAATGAAAGGTACAAACATTATTGTGCGTCACATTGAGTTAAAAGTGACGCTCTCATCATGTTCTCATGTTAAGCAATATTTTGATTTGATCTGATATATATGTAGTATGAAGAAATAGTAATTTGTGATATCTTCATCATGAGCAGAGCTCCGTTTAAATATACAATTCATACTATCCGATAGAGCTATCTAACTTATTGCTAATTCTACGTAGTGATAAGACCAAGGCTAACAGCTAAAGACTAATACGGCTAATATGATGTACAATGGTAGACTAAATTATGTAACAATAATATGTACAAAATAATCATTGCGTAATACGCCCCCGCAAGCTGGAGGTTCCGTCAGAGACTCCAAGCTTGCTTCGAAAAGTTTGGAAAGCATCCTGACCGAGCGGCTTGGTGAGTACATCGGCTATTTGGAGTTTGGTGGAGATATGACACACTTTAAGATGCCCACGTTCAATTAGCTCTCGAACAAAGAAAAAATCAAGAGCAAGATGTTTCATGCGGGAATGAAAAACAGGATTAGCACAGACATATGTAGTACCTAGATTGTCACAGTATAAAGTGGGTGTCGTGGACAGTCTCACACCAAGTTTACTAAGAAGATTTCGTACCCATAGAAGTTCTGCACTGGCATGTGCTACTGCCCGGTACTCCGCCTCAGTAGACGACCGAGAAACACATTTTTGTTTGGCGGATTTCCACGAAATGATGTTAGGCCCAAGATAAAGAACATATGCCGTAGTAGAACGACCATCATCTTGATTACCACCCCAGTCAGAGTCAGAGAAAACTGATAGATGAAGACCCGCAGACCGTCGGAGGAATAACCCAAAATTGAGCGTACCCTTAAGATACCGTAAGATGCGTTTTACAGCTTGCCAATGAATATCAGTAGGTTGGTGCATGTACTGAGATAATTTGTTCACTGCAAAAGAAATATCTGGCCTCGTGAATGATAAGTACTGCAATAGGCCAAGGGCACGTCGATATTGCTTAAAGTCTGTAGCCACAGTCCCAGTTGTACGACAAAGTGTAACAGTCGCACTCATTGGAGTTGGGGCCTCCTTCACCCCTAGCATGGAGCAGCTCTCAAGAATGTGAATTATATACTGACGTTGAGTGAGGAATATGCCACCTGGGCTAGGAATAAGTTCAATTCCAAGAAAATGATGAAGAGGTCCCATATCTTTGATCGAGAAACGGGTGGTCAATTTAGACACAAACTGGTCTACCTTCATCATGAAGAAATAGTAATTTCTTCAAGTGTGTAGCAGCAGTAATGGAAATAACAGAGGTAGACTCTGTGATAGTCATCGTGAGAATGAGAAGGAGAAAAAAAATTGATGTAAAAGCTCTTTAGAGATTGGCTCTTGATACCATGAAGAAATAGTAATTTGTGATATCATGAGCAGAGCTCCGTTTAAATATACAATTCATACTATCGGATAGAGCTATCTAACTGTATTGCTAATTCTACGTAGTGATAAGACCAAGGCTAACAGCTAAAGACTAATACGGCTAATATGATGTACACTGGTAGACTAAATTATGTAACAATAATATGTACAAAATAATAATTGCATAATATATAGTATAAGTTTACATACATGTAAATATGAAATGAGCTTATTTGCTCCTCTCCCCCCACGTATTGTAGCTCATTCCTTCGTATAGTTAAAAGTGATGTTCTCTATTCTCACGTTAAACTATGTTCTCAATTGATAATTCCTCTAACCCCATGTTTTCGTATTCTCACATTAAGCAATGTTCTCAATCGATGATTCTCCTAACCCCACGTAGTACATATTGCCCCTCTCCCTTTTAAGACCAATTAGCACATGACTAAAGAAGAATGTATGTGGCCTCGTTATTAAGAGATCAGATATGAAATGATGAGACAAATTAAAGAGATTGTGATAAATAATCTTTCGGGCTCCTAATGTAAATGATGGTACCACCATATATACAGAAAAACAATACGGAGTACACATTTCATTGATCTTTTATTAATTATGCAATTTTTAATTGATTATGGATATGTATTTGTGTATGTGTGCACTAAAAATTACCAAAAATATACAGAAAATAGACATCAATGTGTAAATGAAATGAATTGAAATGAAGCTAGCTAGCTTGCTAGTTAATTGAGCTACCTAGACCTAGATTTGGTGCTGCATTTGGGGTAAACTGTGGTTTTATTAATGGGGAGTTTGAAAACGCAATCAAGGTGGAGCCAGAACTTAACCGACCCCACCAACCAAACCTTCCACCGCGTCTTCGTGTCCCCCTTCAGCTCAAACTTCAACGCCCTGTCCTTGAGCCCCTCCCCCACCCTCCCCGCTTCCTCCGGCGTCAACGGTATCGGCGACGACTCCACCACGTACTGCATCTCATACGTCTGGTTCCTCGGAACCATGAACGGGGCGGCGCTCAAGTACGCCACCTTGACGCCGTAGAAGGTCAGCGCGTACTGGGTATGGTAGAAGTACGCGCTGGCCTTGTCGTTGTCGTTCTCCGCCTTCATCACGACGATGATCCTGACGGTGAGTATGCTCACCATGTCGTAGTAGATGTTGTCGATGCGGGCGCTGCTGACGCTCATCTGCGGCACCTTCGGCCGCGCCACCATGTACCCGATGAACACCGCCATGCCGGCGAGGATCACCAGGATGGTCACGATGGCGCACACTATGGCCAAGCACCATACCATTGGGTTCGTCTGCCGCAGTTGGTGCTGCCGGCCGGGACCCCCCAACGCTGCTGGTGTTTTTTTCATTCTTTTATGCGCCCGATCGAGCTAGCTGGCCGGATATGATTCTCTGAGGTCGCCGGAGAGTTGAGTTAGATGAATTAGCTGGATATACGCGGGTGGGTGTTGTATGGGACGATGATGATTAAGGAAGAGATCTAGCTATGGAGATAATTAAGTAGAATTGGGTGCTTGGCTGCATTTGGGGGGAAAGCTAAGGTATGTACGTAAGTTACATGCTATATATACGGCATCTTCCTTTCCCATGCTCTAAGCCACTTTAGACCCGAATCAAAAGTACGTACTATGTGTATTGTTTACTTCTCCTTTTCTGTTGCTCCCTCCCTCCCAAGGGAAGATAAAGAAACTTGATTTTTGTTCACACTCAAATTATTTTTAATAAATAAAATTTATACGTAGTATATTCTATTAGACCCATATGGGCCTTATTAATTGTATTCTTATTGTAAATTAGCAACGATTAAGAAAAAAAAATCTTCCTATGGCTTGGCCGCTAGGGTTCTCCGACTTCCGCTCTCAGATACTTCTGAGGTGCGGCCTTCTTTTTTTGAGCTTTGTTTTCGTTTCGAGCGGGGATACGGCCCTCGTGTGGTGGCTGCCAGTTTCGAAGCAGCAACTTTGATGAATCAATGGATGACGTGGTTCACCAATACAAACATATGGTTATTGGGGATGACAAGGAAGAGGTGTTCTTCGATGAAGAAGATGAAGGAGAGGTTTCGCACAAAGGTACGGCTGATTTTCCTGTGGTTGGAGTAATTCTGACTGATCGAAAAATAAAATTTCAAATTTTCAAAGAATTGATGGCCTCGTTGTGGAGACATGTGAAAGGTGTTTCAATTCAGAAAATTGGCGACAAAAGGTATATCTTTACTTTTTGTCATATACTCCCTCCGTCCCCTTTTTAATGTCCCGTTTTACCATATTGGTATGTCCCTATTTAATTGTCTCATACCTTATTTGGTAAAATTTTTGTGGCTCAAAATCATTCTTACTTTATTCTTACTTCATCATATCAATTAATATCAACCACACACCCACTTTTCTTAAAACTCGTGTCACTCTCTTCCGTCCCAATATAAAAGGGACAGAGGTAGTATTAAATATGAGGCGTGTTCTGGATGAAGGTCCATGGTTGTTCGAACGAAATTTATTATTGCTAAAAGAGATTTAGGCAGAAGATATTCCTTTACAAATTAAACTTTATGAGGCTGATTTTTGGGTGCAAGTGCACAATCCTACTTATGGTTTTATGAATCTGGGATCTGCTAGACGGATTGGCGATTACATTGGAAAATTCATTAGTTTTGATGATAGGAAATTTGATGAAAATTTTAAGACATATCTGAGAATTAGAGTTTGTATGGATATTAGGAGACCCTTGAAAAAAAGTACTATGTAAAGAAAGGTGGGTTTTAGCCAATGGGTCGACTTCAAATATGAAAAACTCCCAAACTTCTGTTTTGTTTGTGGTATTATTGGGCATTCGGATAAGTTCTACCCGGAAGTATATAAGGGGGGAAATATCACTTTTGATAAAAACTATGGAGTGGGTCTTAGGGCTGGGACCGGGGTAAAGACTAGTCCCACAGGGGGTAAAAAGTGGTCTATTGAGGGGTCCTCCAATACTGGGGTGGGGATGTCTGATGGACAGGATGCAGAGAGGCAAGATTGGAAGGAGACTACAGACACTAGAAATAGCTCTATCAAGGAAGGGAACTCAGTTAGTCCAGAGGAGACTTCGGGGGAGCCTAAGCAAAGAAGAACCTGGGAGGAAGGGAGACAGGATGCTATCACAGAGGAAGGCATGGCACTTGACGGACAAAAAAACGGAGCGGTGGCAGACCTCCTGTAGGTCCGCCGATCTATGTTGGGTGTCGGAGAAGATCAAAGGAGGCGTCGGTGGAGATGCTCCTGGCTTTGGAGAAGAATAATTATTTTATTGCTATTTTATTTTGGTTGTTGTTGATCAGACTACGTTTTTTCTGTTGTTTTTCTTTCAATGGTAAGACTCTTGCATTAGGATCGGGTGAGTTTGGGTCTGTTTCAATCGTCTATGGCTCAGGTTTGCCCATTAATGGATCAGCGAGTTATATTGCTTGTTTGAAGCTGATTAACTCCAAGTCTGGTTCGCGGGCTGACGGTTGGATGTGGCTCTTTACTCTTTTTACTCCCTTTCTAAATGCTAATGCCTTGATATCAATTTAAGCCCCCTTCTTCTAAAAAAATGTATTCTTATTGTATACTAGTAAAATGTCTTACAGTGACACCAAATTAGTGTCACTGAAAGTTTCTGTGACACTAAAAAAGGGTCAATGAAAGTGGGAATTAGTGACACTTTTTAAGTGTCACTACAAGTGTCACAAAATTGTGACACTATGGTATCACCAATTAGTGATACCTAGATGACATAACTATTCGGCGACGCTTTTACATCACATATTCTAGTGACACCACGGTATCACATAATTCTATTTTCTATTCAAGCAACACGAAACTTTAGTGACACTTTGGTATCACTTTATTTTGCACTGTTTCCGCATTCCAAACCAATTATAATTTAGAAAATCCATTTCAATTATAAATTTTAAAAATTTTGAATTCAATATTAACTAATCTCATCAACGATAATAAAGTCAATAAATCTCAAAACGTCAATTAAACGTTTAAAGCATAATATTCATTTCAAACTCCAGGCTACATTGTTGTTGAACTTTGTATTCTAGGTATGCAAAACCAGATTTACTCTGATGGACAAAACATGACAAAAAAATCCAACAAGATCCAACACCAAAGTGATCACTTTATCACTAAGCAACCGTTGATTAATAGAATTTTAAGCAACTACATAGTTTAGTCCAAAAAGTGAGATGCCTATACGTGGTACATACATATAGCAAAGTTAATAGGACAACATCAATAACAATTCGTAAGTACATATCGCCCAACTTCACATCATCAAGTCTTCATAGCAGCCGCATTCATCAACACTGAAAAATGACCGATACACCATATTAATGATAGAATTATAATCTCAGTACTATGACATTTAATCTCCCAGTATAAAATTGATAACATTCAAGTCTATAATAGTATTAACCACACCACTGTCAAATTCAAAATCCTAGTTGTCTAGGCTCATCCTGTAGATTATTGTACTTATGGCAGGGCTTAGAGATTACATGGCATAATATATCCTTCTCTGAGAGATTATTACTTCCTTAGGCCATCTGATGTTAAGTTTTCACCAGCTAAAACCTTCACTTCCAGCATGTTAGAGTATTACCTAAACTTTCAGGTGGTCTTCTTAAAATCCCAGTTCAGTTGGGTCAGACTCCCAGGACAGATTTGACTCAACTTGACCAATAAATTGATTTAAATTGATTGAGGGTCACTGTGAAATTACACTAACAAGGTTAACTGTGAATTAATGTTTATCACATCAATGCTACTCCCCACCAGGAAACCCATAACCAGAAGCCACTCTAATGACTGAATATCTTTCACATACTTCTTGGCAGTTCAACAGCGCTGACTTCATTGACCTGTGAAAGGGAGTTGTAAAATAATCAATTTTCATTATGGGAACATATAAATCTACACGATCACTTTCCCTAATGCAAATGGTGAAAGCTATGATGAATTAGAGATGATGTTATCAATTTATATCCATATAACAATAGTAGCGGGTGTTAGGAGATGACCTCACAACAATAGAGGATATAGGCAAAAAAGTTCAAGCATAGCAATTTGTGTTATTGAAACGGTAAAATAGAAAGTAGATTTATCTGTCTGTATTTAGATGCAAAAGAAAATACAACATTTAGATGATGCACCTACATTTGAGTTACTTAAGTCACACAATTTGTAAAAGCATTCAGTTTTAACTTGAATTATATGCTGCGCCAGAGATATTTTAAGAGCTATATTTTATATGCAGCATCTTCTTTAAGTAAAACAATGTACGTAGTATACGATTGTAAGGACCAGTCAGTCTGTCACATAGTTCAAACCGTTTACCATACCTTGTCAATTCCAAGGACCAGTTAGTCTGTCAAACATCTCATTAATCTCATGTCTGCAAAATTTATATGACTTATATATAAATAGCTCATAGAGATAATGATTAATAAAGAAGTATTCAAACAATGATTATTATAATATTACAAAATTTATAAGAACAATATAACTATCAACACTAAATGGATAGCACATCTACAGAGTATTTAAAACCGTCATCAGACTCATCATTCATCATCATGAACTGGGAAAAAAGTCTCAATGCAGTTCCCACTGGTAGCACAAAGAATTCTGGGATAGGTTGATGACAGCATAAGTAGAAATAAAAACTAGTCATTTATTTATGTTTTGAATATTTTGGGAGAAGAGTGTAGCAGAAAGGGTAAAGCAGAAGATGAGAGAGCTGAGAGAGTACTTACTGAAAAGAGAATAAAATGCAGCAGAGGCATGCTCTGGTCAATTGAAAAAGTAGATTTCAATTGTCAATATAACATGCACAAATTTGATGTTTTGCATTACATGGTTATGTTTTTGTCTTAAACTTATCTCTTATATTTTCCTTCTTTGCTTTTCACTTTTGTTGTTTCAAACTCATCTGTAAAGAGTTTCTAGATTTTTCATTTTTGGAATGGGTTCAGTACCCTCTCATTTCAAAATTTGACAGTGCTAAACGCTTGGACAGTACTAAACGTTTAAAATCCAGCTCAGTAATATGAAAGTAGGAATATGGGACTATGAAAGATCACCTCCACTGCTCACCCCAGAATCATATAGGAGGACTAGGACTAGCACGGAAACACAGACAACGGAACTGAAGAACTGCCATATGGAGTATTGGGTTTCGAGGAAGATCCATGTCAGCAATATCACCCAACGGATTGTCCAACAGTCTAGTATTGTCACACTTGTAATTGACAGGTATTGGTAAGCCTTCTCACCTGCAAGTTAAGCTTAAAACTCAATTAATATCCAAAAACACTTCAAAAAATTAAGTAAACTAATATTATGGGGTGTAGGCCATGGCAGGGAAAGGGAAAGTGTGGCTCTCATAAAGCTAAAGATTTCATTTATGGATTATTCCATACTATTATACTAAAGTTAGTAACTTTTTAAACAAACTACCAGGTATATATGGCCTTACCAAGATAGTTTCCTTGGACATCAACAAAGCCTAAGAGAAGATACCAATACCAGGGAACCTACATGCAATTAATTAACCATTTTATTACGTCAACATATATAGATATTAATTAAGATTAACTCAAATTGAACTATGTCTAAAGATTAATATAGCATACCATGAGTTTCTGGCGCATAAAAATTGAACTATGTCTAAAGATTAATCTAGCATACCATGACTTTCTGGGCATTCAATTCGCTGGGCTTGGGAGTCGACCGAAGGTATAGGGTATTAGATTACCTGGCGTACAATAACTGAAGCTGCAGGGGGCTTTGCTTCTTCTACTACTGAAAGAGTCGTCAGGGTGGGATGCGGCCACGAGGGGTGACGTGCACTTTGTCGTGAGGTGCACTCAAAGTAATAATACAATACAACACAAATACGTAGTATAGTGAAGTAAGGTTCGTATCCACAGGGAAAGGAATTCTTTTCTTCTTACAAGAATAAATAAGTAACAATAAGGGGGGTTTATATTTGGTTGAAGAACTTTAAATTATATTTAAACACGAAGATGAACGAGTTGTGTGATTTAATTAATGAGAAGAAGATTTGGCTTTGCTTTTATCCACTTAATGAAATGTTCGTCGATCCCGGTTATATCTTTAACTATCTTCCTCTCGAATACTCAATCGAGGAGTATATCCCGTTCATCGAGGGTAGTTATTAATAACGAGACGCGTTCATTAATAAAACTTACTACCGAGTAAATATAGAACACGCGCCGTATATTTACTCGATAGTAGCAATAAAATCAAGATGAAAACGATTGAGATTGATAACCTTAACACAAGCGGTTTATTAGTTTAATCAATATAATTAATTCCCCTTGGTTTATTAACCATGAGACGCATGCATTAACAACCCAAGTTTACTACCGTGAAAGGACCGAGTTAATAACAAGCGTATTAATCGACCGATTCTAGTATTAATTAATATATGAACAAAACTAGTTGATCCTTTAAGTATTGCTCAAAATATTAATATGTAATAGGAATAAGAATTAATTAATATTCAAGGAAGAAGATTAAAGAAAATAACTCACAACTTACAATTCATTAAGCTTCAAAGTAGCAAAACTAAGATGGAAGAGTTTAGCTCCTCATTTGGAGACTAAACATGATAAAAATATAAAGAAAGAACTTGTCTAAACTGAGCTTAGAAGTATATGTGAATTGGTGATTTTCTTGTGGAGGAAATGGGGTGTATTTATAGGCTTTTTAGGCCTGCAGGGTCGTGTACCCGATCGGGTTTTCAGCTCAACCGATCGGGTAAGGGTTAGTTTCCTCGAAACTGAAAATCTGGGATCATACCCGATCGGGTATGTCGGCTACCCGATCGGGTATGGATACGCGATCGAGTTAAAAATCTTCCTGCATGTTGCCTTGTTCCCGGGTTGATTTAATTTGACTTTTTAGCAACTTACCCGATCGAGTATAGGGTATACTCGACCGGGTACAACACCAAAAATCAGGATCTTCATTTTGTTTTGGAATTTTTGCACCTTCCTTCCACTTGTGATGTTCACCAATGGTCCCTAGAGTGGTCTTGGACCTGTTTGAGCTCAGAACAAATCTAATCTAAACAATTTACAAACATTTTACAAACTAAACTATTACACCAAAAGTGTGTAATTTCTAGAGTAATAATCACTCAAAACTAATCAAAAGCACAAATATAAACATGGAAATAACATGAATGTCAACTCCCCCACACTTAGTTTCTTCACTCGACCTCGAGTAAAACCAAATGTTTACACAATGTTCAATCAAAGATCATAAGTTTGAAGAATAGTAAGAAAGAGCACAAGACCACCAAGGTTGTAAATTAGTTCATAAAATAACAATTCTCTTGGGTTTGTTAGTCCTCTATGCCCTTTATTTCTTCTTCTTTTCCTCTTCTCTTCTCTTCCTCTTCTCTTTCTCTTCTCCTCCTCTTCTCCAAGAGGTGGTGTCCTGCAAAACACAAATTTCTCTCTTATCTCTCATTTTGCCTAGGAGCCTTTTTCAGGTTTTCA